ATGTATATATGTATATGTATATACATATACATGTGTGTGTGTATATATATATAGTCATGTTTATGAGGTTGCAGTAATTTCAAATGGCTGTGGAAAATAAAAAATACACACGAAGCCAAAGAGGATAAAACAGTCTGATCGGMGGGGAGCAGTGAGAGGAGGGCACCAGCTTTTGGGGGTGACCATTGCCCCCCTGTGGTCCCTCTCTGGTGGTGTCCCAYCATCACAACACCAAACTTTTAAACACATTTGAAATAGTTGCCTGTTTCTGAGAAGGGCAGGGTTTTACGTTCCTGTGGTGGCCATGTTGAATTTTTACAAACATAAAACAAATAAAAGTGAGATTAACCCAAATATTATGTGTCAGTCTGGACGAGAAGCTGAGTGTTCAGAGTGATCAAACACACCTAAACTTCWGGATTAATTGAACTTTGATTGAAGCTGAAGTTAAGCTGAAGTTTTATTAGTTGTTATAAGTTGACATATCTTGCATGTTTTGTCGCTCCGCCGTGGAAGGTGAGGGCGCTCCTTCCAGGGCTTGGACGCTTCTTTCTTTTTTTTTTTTTTTTTTTCTTTTACAGCCTGTCTGTCTGACCCCCCCTCATCAACAAGCCACTTCCTCTTTTGTCTAATTTCATGGCGATCGGGAGAGGGAACACCACCGACGTACGCACACTGTTTCACTTCTCCTAAGAGTTTATTTTGGGTAAATAATTATCTCTTTTTTTAACCCCCCCTTCACATTTCGTTTGTTAGTCATGAAGTTTAACCAACTGAGTTTAATCCTACCGGAGAATACTTCCCGGTTGAGTAGTTTATGTGTTCAGCTTCTCGGGTCAGATATTTCACATTGTAGCGCCACTCGCTGATAACAAATCGGACGAAATGGGCTCCCCCTCCGCCTGCTCCTCTCCCTCAGACCCAGCCGCACACGCTACTTTAGCGGCTAGCTAACATTAGCAAAACGCCTAACATATGTTAGCGCTAGAAATGAGTTCAGTGAGCACGTTTTCAGACCCGGTGCCAACAAAATAACTAAAAAATATCGCTTTTATCCAAATAACTGTGAACTTTTAGTGGGTCGTTAAAATGTTAGCTACTTAATCTCCGAGTGTTTGTGTTTTGGGTTAGCAAGCAAGCAGCGGGGGGAAGCTAGCCGCCGTGCTGTGTTCAGTTCGGTAACTTGAATCGCCGTTCAGAAGTTTGTTCCTGCCGAACGCGCTTTGAATGGTCGRGCTGTGATGGAGAGAGGGCCGCACACCACAGCTTTTTTAGTTGTAATGTTTGCATGGTGCTGATAAAACATTTCCACCATTCATTACACCCCTCCTCCTCCTCCTCCTCCTCCTACTCCGGACAGACGGGCTAACGAGCAGCACCGTCAGCTAACTAGTACTCGTAACTTCTCGTCTGCTTGTTAGAAAAGATTAATTTATTTTTATCACATTCACAGGTAGGCCACATACTTATTAAAACCAGCACCGTGTAGTGCGTTTGAGCCAAACTAAAGTTTGCTATAAAGTTGGAAACCGTGTTTTAACAGAAAATAAACGCAGGCCAAACTGATTAGTTGGCTGCAGAAAGTAGCACATTTTCTGCACGAGTTAGTTCACCCTGGTGAGAGAGGATAGTTGAGTTGAGATTATTTTTTTGTTTTGAAGTAACTGAAAAATCAACATACTTTAAAAGAATGATTTTTTATTTATTTTTATCTTTAACTTTATTGGTACAGGTTGTTCGTTTGGACTGTCCTGTGCAAACAACGCTTCTGAATGTTTGAATGTTAGCTGTGTTTAAAAAAAAAAAAAATTACATTTTGCTAGCCAAATATCCCATGAACTACTGGATAGAAGTAACCATTTGGATGCACACCTACCATTGCTAATCAGCTGCAGTGAACACAATGACTAACTCAGTTTGTTTGTTTGTTTGTTTGTTTGTTTATAGCTAAAATGTGACATTTAGTGATTGAGAGCAGGGCTGCATGATATTTGAAAAACCTGCGATGTGTGATACTGGTGCTTAATATTGCGATGAGGATATGATTTGACACAAATGAACACATACCAAATGCATAATTATGTAGTTTTGATGTCTTTCTGCTCTAGATTCAGAGCAAAAAAAATATTTTATGTAACTGATCATTTTCATTCCGAAATTATTATTATTATTATTATTATTATTATTATTATTATTGCAATATGCATATTGCACAGGCTGTTATCGCGATGACGATGAATTCTCAATATATTGTGCAGCCCTAATTGAGAGTTCAAGCACTAAAACATCGTGAATCCTTCATTTGGGAATAAAAARGTCAAACGTTTCAACTTTACCATCATGTTTTATGGGTTAAATATTTATGAACTACATACCTGCAATCAACAGTGTTGTTAATTTTTAACACTGTGCTGTCCAAACTTCTGTTTTTTTCCACAAGCAAATCGTCTGTCGTCCATTTCTTTGCTGACTGGGCTTCRCTTTTGTGTGCAGGTGATTCTCTGTGGACATCATTAAAGGACTCCCCCACCCGCCCCCATCAGCATTTGGATCTGTTCTTTGCTGTCCCAGGTTAAGACTACTTGGCTCTGATGGACAAACCCAAACTTGTCAAGCGGCAGAGACTTGACCGCATCTGTGAGGGTGAGAGTCAGTCTGACCTCTACTGGTTCTAACAGCTCTAACAGCATGCTAATTATAACAATTCTTAAAATTGTGATTTTTCACACATGGTTTAGGATTCCTGCACGGAGGTGAAAAATCTTATTAAAAATCTGAATTTATTTTCTTTTTTCTTGTTTTTGGATTGTCCCGATGCAGCTGTAACAACGTACTTYGCAAAGAGACAAACAAAATTCAATTCTGTTCTATTAGAGGTGTACAGTATATAAAGTTTAGTTTGCAGGGAGACGATTCTTATGTTATTTTCCTGGTCGTTGGTCAGTTAGATAGATTCTGGCGGRCCGAGTTGCACACACCCAGTTTAGATGATGGCGTTTCAGACGTTAAAGCGTGAGCAGAGTTGTGAGGATGCTGATGACAGAAGAGAAGAGAATAAGTTGGGGAAATGTGGGTTATTCTCAGCTATTGTCGTTGCTGTGATTAACAGTAATACGGCACGTTTCCTTAATATTGTGAAGCCCTGCTGTTTCTGTCTGCTTCATTAAACCTCGTGTTTATAAATTTGCCGTCAGGTCATAGTTTTCATGTTATTGTCTGACACAAGCCTCATGTTTCCCTTGGGTTTTTAAAAACAGAGGTGTTCTCTCTCTCTTGTGTGTCTGATGTTTGGATGGACTCGGAGGAAATATTTGTTCTCAGTCATCACGACTGAAGTCTGAGAATTTGAGCGTGGAAAAGGATGAAACACTGGTGTTTTTGCAAAAGTTGCTAATTGTTGTCACAGTAGAATAAGTTTAAGTTGAACCTGAGTTTAAATGATAAATGTTTAATGTTGAATTATTCTTTGTTTTGTTTTTAATGTACTGTTTGTGGCACAATATTTCAGGATCACATTGCTGGTATTGTTGAATACTGTTCAGAATTTATTTATTTTTTTGTCTGAGGTTGAAGGATTTATATTGACCAACACAATGTACTAAACTTGTTTTTCTTTATTTTAATGAAACTTTCAGAAAGTTATCATRACTTTTAAACTGAACCCCATTCAAGATGGCCACCACAGCCGACTGACTTTAGACAACACGCATATGGTTCCAACTCAGTRGTTCAGATATTAAGCTAAAATTGAGCGTGGTAGTAGCTGAGCATTGTCCCCAGATCATACTTTGAGTCTTTGCTTACAGCTTTAATAACCATTAAAGTTCATCTTTTTGTTTATCTGTTAGCGAAATATCTCTTAAACCACCAGACTGATTTCAGTGCTTCTCTCAATGTAATAATTTACTCTTTATTTACAACTGGTTAACTTTTGGAGTGGACCCAGTTCAAGATGGCTGCCACACCAAACTGACCTTAGCCTAAACAAAAATGGCTGTACCTTAATGAATTCTATGGATACTGAGTTACAATTTGGTGTGGTAGTAGCTGAGAGTCATTCACGACACACTCTTCAAGCACTAACAGATCATGCAAGGAATGGCAATATCACAGGAGATTATATCTAATGCTGTTTTCAATGTTTGAAGAAAGTAGTTTTATTGTCATAGTTTCTCAACATAAGATCTCAGTCTAAAATAGGGATGCACGACATATTGGCAGTGACATCGGTATCGGTCCGATATGTAAAACAGGGCTGTTATTAATGTCCGATATTGATTTGCGTTTCTGTTTTGGTAGGCGAAATGTTTGGTGGAGTGATGTCTGTTTGATCGTGTTAGTGATATTGACGCTGCGCAGCCAGGAATAACTGAAGTAGACATCCATGTCAGAGGTCTGGTCGTTTATTTATGGTTTTGATAAAAAGAGAGTGTGTTTTGTGCATATACGTATATAAATTGTTTGTGTAATATCGGTAAATATTGGTTATCGGCCATAACAGCAATAATTATATTGGATATCGATATTGGCTGAAATTTTCATATCGGTGCATCCCTAGTCTAAAACTCTGGAACAAAAGGTGATCGATGATATGAATTTTATTATGTTAATTTATGAATTAGCAGATGATACATCTATATAAAAAAAAATTCTGTTAAAAAATAAATACTGTACTCATCATTCACTACTAAAGGTTTACTATGTAATTTGGAATAAATAAGTGAAATCGGCTGACTTGTTTTGTTGCCAACAAGTTGTTTATTTACATGTAGATGTAAACGTGTGACAGATGTGGAGTTTTTTTAATTAAAATATTTAAAATTGTTTAAAAATATATAGTCGTAACAAAGGTTAAGAATATTTTCTATTTAACATAGTTTTTACAAAAACTCTGAATGCGAGCTGCATTAATCCTCAAACTAACATTTAATAATGTAAAAATTAAAAATTCAAATCAAAAACAATGAAAATCACTTATTTTTGACAGAAAACATGGCTTTAAAGTTGTTCGTCTGTGTTCCACTTTGAATGTGACAGAAAATAAGTCAACTGTATGGTGTCAGAACACGTGGTTGGTGATGGATAGCAGCATGAATCTGTAAAAGACGGTGTTTCAGGTGTTTGAAGACGGACGATGACAGTCAGACAGAAATGAAGGAGACGGTCTCTGGAGGCGGGTGAGAGTAAGAGAGGACGAGGTGAAGGGTTGTGGCCGAGGCGACAGGGAAACGAGCCAGCTGTTTCTTTAAAAAACGACAACGGTCCAAACCGGCCGCAGTATGCTAATGAGGTTAGTGCTGGTTGGCTGGCTCTCAATGGAGCGGCCCGTGATTGGAGGGCCGGCCGTGGGGGAGGGGCCGGCCGTGGGTGACAGCTGGGATCCAGTCAGCCTGAAGCAGGCTGGCAAGTGAGAGGGAGGAAAAATAAGAGCCATAAGGAGAGAGAGAGGGAGGAAGACCGGCTGACACGCTTCACAATAATGCAAGGTTAGGCCCCGGCGCTCATGTGCTTTCTATTTTCTGCGTGTGTTTTTCGAGATTTGCGAGCTGCGTGCGGGACGGAGCTGAGCTTTGGGCGTGGCGCCGTTTCCCTTTCAGGCTCGGCGCTGACGGCGTCGCAGCCGTTGAGAAGGAACTGAAGTGTGTGTTTAGCTGCGTCTGGGTGGAGTACTGCTGCTTGCTGCATTATCATCGTCTGCTGCCCCTCCCCCCTCCTCATCTCCAAATACAGCCAGAGGGAGAGGAGGAAGAGGAGGAGGGAGTGGAGGAAAGAAAAGGCAGAGGGAGGCAGACTGAATGAATTGTATTGTGTGTCTGGCCATGCTGGCTCTTCATAGGCCTTGGGTACGGCAGTGTCCTGTACTCAGATTACTGTCTGCGCACGCCTGCTTGGTTGAAGATTTTTCTGAGGGGGGTCTTTGTGACSAACCACTTTAGGGTTTTCCTACACAGCAAACGTCTCTTTGTGTGTTTCAGCATGATTAGGCTATTTGCAAGCACCGTGACTCTCGCTGCTGCATGAGGTGCTCACGTTTTGTTTTTATTATTTATCTTTAGCGCCTTTAGTACTTCACCCCCCTTTTCTCTCATGCGTTTAATTCAAAAGGAAAGCTGAGACYTGAGAGAAGGTGTTGGCTCCCTTCCCTCCTCAGCAGTCTCACCGTTACATTCTTGCTCTGTGTCGCGYCAAACGTTCCAGCTCGACTCACTGTGCCGCCGTGGAACCCACACACCTGTCACACAGCAGCGACAAGCTACTGATTGTGTGCAGCTCAGTCATGGTAGAGCTGGAGCATCAGATGAGACGTGTTCAAGAACTCCTTCAGTCGTGTTTTTTCAGCTGATGTGGCATTAATCGGTTCTGTCAACATTTCCCTTGTTGATGGGAGGCGTATCAGCCCAATGTGATCTCTGGTGTCTGAAGAGGAAGGGGGGTGCAGAGAGAGAAATTGCAATGAGTGACTCCTCCACACATGAGATTTAGGTCACTTGTAGACCACCATAACCCCCTAAACTACCTCCCCCCCCGAGGACCCAACACTTCTCTCTGCTGCCGTGTCAAAATCACCAAGCATCACCTTTTCCCCCCTCTCTGTTATCTAAACCAGGAGCGGGCCACATTTTCTTTCTGTTTTGGTTTCCATATTGGCTCGGTTAAAACAAATAAAGCTACTAAATAAACCAAGAAAAAAAGTTTCAGACAAATTTTCTTCCTTTTCTTATTGGAACAAMTTGTTGGCATCATTGGCTCAATCTAAAAATTGAGTTAAACTCAGTTATACCATCTTTAAAATATCAAGCACGCTTTCTATAAATTGACATGGATGGAAAGCAATAGTTTATATTTTCATTTATGTCCTCTCTGACATCTAAAACACAGAACTTACACACTTAGCAAAACTTGTGTATTTTAGTCCAAAATCTTAAAATTTAAACATCAAGAATGTTTATTTAAATTTTTTTTTTCCCCAATCAGCTCAACACATACGAGGCTGGATATAAATTGTCCAAATGCAACMTCTGGTCCATATTTTGTTCGTGTGTTACCACAGACTCTCTCCTCACTGTGTYTCCTCTGCTCAGARAGAACCTGGGTCAGGTTCTAGGACTAAAAGCTCTTTGAAGTGAAACGGAGGCGGAGCACTGGTTACATGCATTCCTAAAGAGAGATGGAGTTCAATGTCAAACAGGTCACACTCCTGGARGAGCTCTGTGTTTCATCAGAGATGTAGTTGCACGTTACTTCTGTAGCTTCTAACCCTGTGCACACTCTGGCCTCGTGGGCCTTGTGGTTTCCCCCAGTGTTGGTGGGACGGGTTGGAAAAAGAAAGTCATAAAAGCCAGACTTATTGTTGTCGAAGAAGTGCAACGTTTTAAGCCGTGTGCACGCAGGGGAATTTTTGTGTTACTGTACGATAACTTGCATCACGTCGGGAAGCCGAGACGTGGAAAATGAGTGTTTAGTCACGAACACAGAAATGAACTGAACTCATTCTGAAAKCCGAGTGGTTGGTGGGCATTTCCATTAATAAACTGTGTACTGCAGTAAAACAGGAAAATGGACAATGTGACAAATTATTTTTGTTTCTTCACTACAAATTATTATTTTAATTACTTCATCCCCGCCCCCAAGCCTGGAACAATACAAACACAATATTTTCAACCCTCCTGCTGCCCTCMGGTCAAAATTACCCAAGAGGCCTCGGTCTTAACCCTGATGCTGTTATGCTAAGAAGTTATGCTAGCTTCAGATYTTGTTTACAGACAGATTTATGCTTCAGGGTTCGATGYACAAAAGGTTATGAAKACACGCAGCTTTACTGCAACTACAAGAATCTACGGCAACTCTATTGGGACAAACGGCACCGTACACAGATTATCATAAAAAAAAACATATTTCTCACATCGATCTGAAGATTTAATCAGAACCATTCATCTCTGCAATGTGATGTGGGAAATTTTACCTCTAAACACTACTCTAAAGTCAGTAATTCACTGTAAAAGTTTTATTGTTGTGATTTTTAGGTAATTTTTTAGACTGAGAGGTTAAAAGTTTTAGCTTTTCTATAAAATACAGATTACAAGAAAAGCCTGAGCATGTGCGGACTTGGGGCCTATTTGTAACTAATATTTTACACTTTGGTGTTCTCAGGTATCCGACCCCCGATCCTGAATGGACCGATGCACCCTCGGCCCCTCGTGGCCCTGCTGGATGGGCGCGACTGCACCGTGGAGATGCCCATCTTGAAAGACGTGGCCACAGTGGCTTTCTGCGARGCTCAGTCCACACAAGAGATTCACGAGAAGGTAAAGGAGAAACASCCAGCACCTGTCCGTGGAGAAGAATGTTTCGATTCTATACAAGTGAAAACAACTTGTCCTCTGCAGTTTAACGTGAGGCTGATCTGAGCTGGTTTGGTTCTTGTTTAGGTGTTAAACGAAGCTGTGGCCGCCCTGCTGTACCACACCATTACTTTATCCAGAGACGACTTGGAAAAGTTTAAAGGCCTTCGAGTTATCGTCCGGATCGGCTCAGGTTTTGACAACGTTGACATTAAAGCAGCTGCCGAGCTTGGTGAGTTGATCAAACGTAGAGAATTTCCTCACAGACGCAGAGACTCGGCTAAAGGCGTCCTCTCTCCTCGCCGTCCAGGTATTGCGGTCTGTAACGTGCCGGCGGCCTCGGTGGAAGAGACGGCCGACACGTCACTATGCCTGATCCTCAACCTGTACAGGCGAGTCACCTGGATGCACCAAGCTCTGAGGGAGGGAACACGCGCCTCCAGTGTGGAGCAGATCAGGGAGGTGGCTGGTGGCGCTGCTCGAATCCGAGGCGAAACGCTCGGCATCATCGGTTTAGGTAAGTAAAGGGCGACAAACAAATAATTTTTAGTTTCAGCCGGTGCGCCACATTAACCACTGAAATCCTCCTCACCTTGTGTTGTTAAGGGCGTGTCGGTCAAGCTGTGGCTCTGCGGGCCAAAGCCTTCGGATTTAGCGTGATCTTTTACGACCCGTACCTGCCCGATGGTGTGGAGCGCTCCCTGGGCCTGCAGCGAATGGCCACGCTGCAGGACCTGCTCATCCACTCTGACTGTGTGTCCCTGCACTGCAGCCTCAACGAGCACAACCACCACCTCATCAACGACTTCACCATCAAACAGGTGAGAGATGATGCTTCTGTCCTCGGCTCAGAAGCAGATCTAATCACGCTGCTTTTGCACAGGTGTGGTGAAAGTAGCTGGAGTTTGTGTTGATTTTTAACAAAACAAATTGCAGAACTTGGAGTCTCCAGGTTTGTCGCACGTTTTCTTTAGTCCACACAGGAGTGTTTACGTAGGTTCAGCTAGTAAAGAGAAACCTGTGGTAGCTCTCTGTACAGCGACTGTGGTTTCAGTTAAACTTAAACTAAAATATAGAATTAATAAAACAAGAAGAATAAGTTGAATTTTCTTTTACATATTTATGATTTTGGCTCAGCTCAGC